TCCATAATTAGAAATGATCAGCTTGGCTGTTATCATACGACCATGAGTCCATGGTGGATTAATGAATTGAATGCTTCATGAATAGCTATTCGACGGCATCATTTAGATTAATTACAGACGGAAAGGCTGGCACCACCATCCTAAATATAATTATGCAAAAAGATTAAGTGTCGTTTGTGGGTCATTTATTTATAAAGTGTATCATTATCATCTTGATCATGTCTGAAAACATACGCAATTACATTTATATCCCATTCCACCGTTTGTTTAGTTCACGGATTTCAGACAAGAGACTACCCATAATGATTTCCGGATTTAAAGGCATTACTTGAATTTAATGAATATAAAATTGTATTGACTGCATTGTGCATACGTTTTTATCTCATAATGCCTGGAAAGGATTCATTCAAAAGAGAACTTGCTTAAAAGAGACATTTTCCTCTTTGTACTTTTATGCTTTTTGTTTTCATCCGATCTTTGTTTTCATTTTCTTTTCATGAATTTATTCATTCTTTCTTTTGGGGGGCTATTTATTTGTCTATTTTGTCACTTATTTATTTATTTATTTATTTATCAATTCATCAATGTATTAACTTATTTGTTTGTTCGTTTATTTACTTAATTGTATTAATTTATCCTTCGTATGTTTATTTCATTCTTCTTTCGTTCTTTATTTCTTTCTTAATTGATTGATTAGTCAATAAATTGAATTCATTTCGTTTTTGTTGATGTTGGGATTGTGGATGAATTTTTCTTCGCATCTTCGCAGGTAAATGACAGACAACATTACACGCATTTTGTAACGTGCTTGTCATAAAGTACCAGTACTAGGAACAATAGCCAGGCCGTCGATAGCACTTACCCTTTTCATACATTTAATCACACGGCGTGAGCTATTTTAGTCGCGTAATTATCTCTTATTCTTCCTTTCAATTCCTATTGATACGAGGACCATCTTTAATCACATATACGTCAATGTTTCCAAAGATCCAATTACAAACGTACGGCAAAGTACGCAGTTGAAATGTCAACAAGAATTGCGTATGAAAACCACGCGTTCTTCCTAATTTCTCTCGCTTATGATTGTTGTTCAAGTGTAAATTGCCTTGAAGCTTATGGTGAATAGAGTGTCTGACTTGTAGAGCTCTTAACGGTTTAAGTATCATTGAAATCGATGCAAACAATTATTATCAATAATATTTTAACAATAATAAATATTTTGTTATTATCATTATCATTATTATTTGTATGATTAATATTATGATTAATATTATATTCCTATCCTATCATTATTATAACTATTATTATTAATATTATTTATATTATTTGGTTGTTTTTCTTTGGGGTATAGGGCATGATACATTCCTATCCATAACACAAAAAAAGAGGAATTTTAATAACAATAACACTAAAGCCAGCTTGGAGGTCATATTACCTTTTAGCTTCAGGTTGCCTTTACACGAGGTGTCATTGCTGACGGATGCGTGCGTCAGCGATTGGCGTGGTCTTTGATGTGTCATGTATAAAGATGTAATGCAAAATGGAAAGATCAAGCATTTCCCATGCACAAAACCTGGCGCTTGCACTAATCTGCTTCTTAGATTTGATTAGCGTTGTTGACGCAATCAAAATAGGGACTTTTAGATTTACACGACGAGAGCTTGGACTGCCGCGTGTGACATTGTGTTAAGGCACTGGGCCGTGCCCGGCAATGCCTTAAAAGGACGTCACATTACCTTGAAAGGATGTCACACGTGGCGGTCCACGTTCTCGTCGTGTAAATCTAAACTTCCCTAATGACGCATCGTAAAGGGCGTCAATAAGAAGAAAACAGGGAAAAGTCCCAAATATGCTGTATCCCACTCTTTACTGTTGCGATAATGAAATCACCATTAGGTAAATATCGGTGATATTCACTGACGTAGCCCGACTCATTTGACGAGGGGGGGGGGGGGGGGGGTGGGGGAGGGGCATAGTCGAGAAGAGGGAGTAACGCATAACATCACAGAGTCACATATATAGCTACACACAACCACCCACACACACACACGCACGCGCGCACACATTTCCACTTCAAACACCTGGGGCAGGGGTATGGTTCACTGGTGAACTAAAGCGGATAAACGGGGGAGAGGGCATGACTCTCTTGTCCCTCCCCCGGCTACACCAATAGTGATAGCACGTATGATTGCCTTCTTGTTAACAACTATAACCCAACACTTCTTAGTAAGGTAACATTGTTCAGATGAGAGATAGTGGTGCGAAGGTAGTGACTTCAATGCTAGATGTACAATTAAAGGTGAATAGAATAAATAATAATAATAATAATAAAGATGTACATTTTAAGAGAATCTGAAAATTTGAGTGAAAACGAACCATTATTCATGGTACAAATTGGGAAAAACTGATCTGATCGATTCCTTAATTCTCCCAACTATATTATTACAATTTAATTACATTTTAGGTGAATGGAAATCGTCACAAAGCGAAAAAATGTCTCTACATTCCATTCCAGACATTTAAGTGATTTTTTTATAGCCTGTTTTATGTCTTTTTTCATGGAAAAACGGTTGGTAAAATTCAAAAATGGTTGGGAGAATTTACTGTTAATCACTGTTAGAGGGTGTCGTACATCGACGCCTTTTAAAGAAAACCATAGATATCTTCGTGGTTTGAGAATTTTTTCAGGATTTTTTTGCATGTCAGAGGGTTAGTACAGTAGAAGGAATATAGTAAGTAACATTTTATACAAAAATTAAGCAATTTTTTTCATCAACCTTCAACAATGGTACCGAGTCACTTTAACATAGCCGACGGGTATATTTGACCTGGACTTATCCGATTTGTTTGTCCATTTTCCACTGACCGCCTATTCATACGCCAATTGTTTCAGGTAATAGACTCGAGGTGTATACGTGACTAAATTCAAGGTTTTTTCTCCTGTATTTTCGCTCATAACCTTTATAACATGGATCATTAAAGATAAACTTGAGTTCTGGTAAAAAAAAGAAAATGAATTCTCACAGAATCTAACGAAACTTACACTGAATGTTCAAGATTGCAAATAAATGTCATGTGCCAAACAATTTTAGAAGAAAATGTATACTGGCTGAGTAATGAGCATAGAAAGATAAGGAAATCAGGGTAGTACTAGCCCCGACACCATGTGTGGTGTCCCATATACATCTATCTGTGTAAGTGATTGTTACTTTACCAAGACTCTGCCAAATTTATGATGATGTTGATGACTCTAGAACCTTGCATTATACACCATTACTTACATGCTATATGATCAACTTTTCTGATCCATTCCACACCTTTTCTTTCACAATGCAATCGCATTACCAGAACTCAAGTTTATCTTTAAAGCAAGGGGGCAGTAATAACAAGGAATTTTTTTATTGCTAGCAAAATAATTATTAGTAACAATTACGTAAGGCCGAGCACTCAGCAAGTAATCTCGTACATAATTATGGACTATACCACTGAGAATAAATAACCATGCACTTTCGTCATCATATTGAGTGATGTTCATATCAGAGTTTGTAGTGATCGCCTGATCATAGATAAACATCATTGTGTGATGTTTTATTTCATATCACTGTATTCATTTTTCCAACGTATATTCCACACTGACCAGCAAAAGACAAAGATAAAACAACAAAAAATCCATATGCTATTTCGCGCTGTTACCATAGAAATCGACACATTTCTAAAATAAAAGGGCGTTTAAGAGTAGGACATGACTGGTAGTGAGCTGTAACATGTTTCATTTTGAATGGTATTACTAATTAAAATTAAACGAGTCGAAATTTAATGGAATATGGTTGCCATTGTTATTCCCTATTGTTAGAATCTATAAATGTTCGATGTCATGGATGAACTGCATGCAAACGAAAATCATCTGATGCTCATTCAATAGTCATAAATATAGAATGGTAACTTTCTATTGTTAACAGTCGATCGAGCTCTGATGCGCATTCATAATCATAAATATTCGATGGTTTTAACCTCAGCTTCTAGAGAGCGTACCTCATTTGATATGTTGACGGAATTAATATTTTTCCAAGAATGATATCTACACCGACGAACACTCATTGAAAAGGCTTGACTACTGGAGGGGTGCAGGGCATGTGCCCCTCCAAAGCGCTTCTCTGAAACATTTAAAACCTTTTCCCATCTTTCCTCAGAGTTGCCTCCACCCCATTGAGAGATACTCTAACATGGGTCGTTAAAAAGGTGTTAAAATGGCGTTTGGCAATAAATGTCATTACAACATAATTGTAATTACATATCAAATTGTGTATCTCCTTTTGTATTCAATGTCTGGAGCTTCATTATCATGTGCTATTTTTGGTTTAACCAAGTCTCCTACTGGATGATAGGGAACAATGTAATACAAACATATTAATTTGAATGAATATGCGGTCCCTTTGGTCTGGCGTAAGGTTTGCCATGAACATTACTGTCAACATCACGATCGCCAATTTCGAAAAATCGAATCATGTTCGGATTACGTAATACATCACTGTCATGTTCGCATGTCTTAAAGCCTATCTGTACTAGTTTGGCCAGGAGGGATTAGACCTCCCTGCATGGTCAATGGCAGGTGGTTATCTCATCAAATCAGCTCTCAATTAACATAAGCAAAAGGGGACCACGGGGGACCAATGGTCACCGATTAGGCATTGTCCGCTATATAGAGGGCGCAAGTATCTATAAATAGTGCAGTGGGGCTTTAAAAGGTGATGAACGAGGCTATTGAAATTGGCTTGGGTTGAGTTTTCAAAAGTAGTTGCGGTTGTGTTTAACATGTTTATTTAAAATTCACTCATAATTTTGTTTTCTCTCCCTCTCTCTCTTGTCTATTCCACACTCTCTTCCACTTCTTCTTTTCTCCCTTGCTGCATCTTGTTATAATTTCTCTTCTCATGATACCTACCTCTCTGTTGCTCATTGCCCACATTCCGTCCTTCCCTTCTCCTACATGCAGGTACATTTCATACGACTTGGAAGATGGCGTCCACCCAGGTCACCACTGATATCCTGTCAACGGAGTTGATGTGGACGGATTCGACAACTGCCGGACTGAACGTGACAGAACCAGCTGAAACTGGATCAAACCGGTTGACGGGCAGTGACCTGGTGTCTGTGATTATCTACTGGACCACAGGGTGCATTGGGGTGCTTGGTAACGCTTTGGTCATGATTGTCTTTCGACATCTCAGGTCCAAACGAAGTCAGGCCAACCTCTTCATTTTGAACCAATCGCTGGCTGATTTCGTCACTTCGTTGTTCATCATCACCTTCGGCACAACGAGAATCGTACGTCATAACCTCTCGCATTACGGTGCCTCTGGATTCTTCCTATGCCGATTCTGGTGGTCGCGGTTCTTCGTCTTCTCCGGCTTTGCAGTATCCACCTTCAACCTCACCGCAATGTCCATTGAACGGTACATAGCAGTCGTGCATCCGCTCAAATATCAGGTGTTTTTCAAGCGACGCAATACCACCATAATTATCCTCATTGTGTGGATCGTAGGACCAATAATGCAGTGGGTGTTTCCCATCTGGCAACATGCTAGTGTTGACGGAAGCTGTATTTATCAGTCTTCGTGGAGCAATGTCCACGGAATCGTTGTTGGTGTGGTCCTTTTCTGTTGGGAATACTTCTTTCCGTGCCTTATCATGTCCTTCGCGTATGTCACGATTCTACGCACTTTACGCATCAAGGAACGCATCGTTCACGCTCAGGTTGGCGCACCCGACCAAGGCGGCGAGCCGAAGACAGACGCGAACGGCAACGCCAAAGGCAACACCGTCAACAAGAACAACGCATCATCCAAGCAGGCGCAAGCTCGACGTAAGAACGTCACCGTCACTCTTTTCATCCTCTTCATCGTTTATTTTGTCTGCTGGAGTCCGAATCAGTTCACGTTCCTACAATTCAACCTCGGTGGTCCGCTCAACTTTGACGGCATCTGGTATCACTTCACAGTCGTGGCCGCCTTCTGTAACACGTGTATCAATCCATTCATCTACGCGCTGAAACACAGGCAGTTCCAGGCCGGGATGAAGTCACTGTTCTGCCGCGGAAAGAGTGCCCAACGAAATAACGGAAGTGAGCAGCCAGGTGGAAGTCTGGCTGGCACTGTCGTTGATTGACACAGAGAGTCTGTGACGGTACGTGACACGTCACATAACGTTGCGAGCGAGGAATTCAGCAGTATCGACGCCATTGATGCAAAAGTATATGAACAAACCAACAGTCCTCCTAGTCCTTCTTCCAATAGTGGCATCTCTCAAGGGAAGATTATCAGAAATCACCAGACACAGGGGTCCATCCTCTCAGACGGAAGCGATGAGCTTGAGGAAACTGGTCCACTAGGTACCGACCCTGACTTTGACACAGCAAACGGCAATTCGAACAATAAACATGAACACGGTGATTTGACTGCTGAAAATGGTAACACGAATATTCGACCAATGAGCATACTCGCAGGTACGGATGTAACAAATAAAAGAACTCACAGTGTGATCAAATGGTTTGATCAGGAAAATAATGTGAATTCTCTTTAGAAAGGCCACCGAATCAAAATGCTTTTTTATTTTGAAAAAGAACCAAAATACGATGAATCAACAAAATTGTAATGTGATAAACTCTTCCGTCGCTTTCCATATTTATGTACCTAAGAAAATTAAGAACTAACTCGTGGCCAATTGAATTGGTGTCCTAAATAGATCCATGCTAAGACTGTGAAATATTATTGATGATCGTTGTTTAGTTCTAAGATTTTTAGGTCCCCAAAGAATTGACGACTCGCAAGTCTTTAACTATTGGATATGTATACAGTCATGTATAGTGTGCGTAGTTACAACAAAAATTGTACTAACGACAAATGACATGACTCTTGCATAGATGAAAAGAAAAAGAAGAAGAAGGAGAAGAAGAAGAAGATGAAAATCCTCTTCTTCTTTTTTACATTGGTAACTTTCAGAATTCATCCCTTGAACGCACTTACCGCTCCGGTTGCTGGAGCTAAAGCCGACGTAATGATATCCAAAATACTTTGCAAATGTATAGAGATGTTCATGCGATATACAAGAACGACATAACTATTATTATTATTAAGTGTGCTTAACATACTGTTTATCCAAGAGGTTGCAATTATCATACTGGTGAGTAAATGCCCAGTTTCTTAAAGCTCAAATTTACTTATATTTCCACTCATACTTTGCATGTATTTTCGTGCCATTGATTTTGTTCGTTGGGACTTGACACCTTAAAAACTGAACCTTAATCAATTCCATCGTCAATGTAATTAAGAATGTATAAATGGCGATATGTGTTCTTCTCTATATTAACGATTTTACTGTGTCTGTAACGATTTTGCTTTATTTCAAAATCCTACAAATTATCTCCTGTAGTTGTACATTGCCACTTTTTACTTTTCGTATACATATATTTGTTCTTCTTACTTATTGTTGTTATAAATAATTACATAATGATGTACATTTTGTGTATGATATAATGTGCTTGCCGTTCATAAGAGACTTTTAGAATTATATTTTGAGATATGGTAAGTATTTAAGTGTTGTCATAGAAGTGCATTGCCAATGGTTTTTATAAAAATAGTCAAATGAATTTTGAGAAAAATGCACACATTCCAAGTTAAGTTAACAAACCTGTAAATATTATATTTTATTTTTTAAACTTATATAAATATCAAACTGATTTATGAGGTACGCTTTTATTTGCATATTCATATTGCCTAGTATTGGCAAATATGCATAATTATGCTATGGTAGAAACTGAACGATATTTCACGAAATGGTTAGAATCCTTATATTCGAATATTCCCAATGACAGTTATTTCGTGAGTTTTTTTTTTCTTCTTTGAGATTGTATACAATCTTTATGACAGCTTGCACCAACATTACCAAGTCTATTGCAACTAACTCACCGAGTACTGTTCAGCTGATTAAAATATGAGGATGCACATGCATTATGTTGTAATATGTTATGGGACATGTCAATCTTTCAACTTTTTCAGGGTTTTGTACATTTATTTATCTATTTCTATTTACCCATGTACCTTGTTTTCGTAATTTATCTTGTTAAACACTTAAAAGAAGAAAAAAAAACACAAATTCATCTTGTATTGATGATTATCAATGATTACTTAACAAACTCATATTAAGGCGTACTTAAGTTTTAAGAGGGGATAATGATTTACAAGCCACGCTTTCAATAAGCCCTTTCATTTTCACAAGTCATGTCACATAGAAGTAGTATTACCTTCAAAATTGTTCAAACTGTCAAATTTGTTCAGTTGTCAATAATGTAATAAAATATTGCAATTTTTATGATATTGTTTCCAGATGTAATATCCTCCATGTGTTAAGTTGTTAATTCATCTATTGTTCAGATTGTTATAATGTTATCTGTAATTTATATTTCTATTATTATTTGGATTAATTGAGTTTATGGCTTTGCGGTGAATACGTTATGAAACAAACACACAAATCAAAAACATAGAATGTAAATAATAATCTCCTCCGATCACGAGATCTATTTATACCTTGTTTTTATCAATAAGTACCAATATTTCTCAAGCTTGCAGTAAGGCAATTGATAACGGCAGCATTTGTAGTTAGATAAGAAAAAAGGAAAAAGGCAAGCTCGTCAAATGCATTTGAATACTTGATCAAACTTTAGTTTGTGTGTATTTGCTATGTCTATGAGTACACTGCGATAGGTGGATTGTGATATTTGTTCATTTAATTAAAATCAAATAATGAAAGCAATAGGAAAATTGTTTTTTTATTACGCTATGACTACCTCTAGGGAGATAAGATTCAACGCTTCTTTACAACCAATATAAATCTAGATCAAACGCGCTCAAAATGTTTCAAGTTTCATAAAGATAAAGTAATATCTAACGTTCATGCTGTTTAAATGTTTATATAGATCATGGTCCTTCCAAATCAATTTCAACGTGGAAAAAAACCGCGGCAACTTTTGTAATACAGTGCGTCCCAGAAAAAACGAAACCGAGAAGTATCGATGTTCTATCATAACTTAATCACAACTATAATTAATGAATGATACATATTTGGAAAGCTTAGAGTCTCCTCTTTCATGTGATGCTACTCAGATGATGCATATTTCACGCATGAGTGATGAAAAGCAATTTGAAGGAAGTAAACCAAAAAAGACATTTGGCGGGCGGTATCTGAATTTCGAAGAAAAATTCACATTTCTAGAAAGTTGAGTTTCTGCCCTTTCATATGACACCTCAATCAGGAAAAATGAGCGAGGAATGACAAAGTTCTGTTTGTTTAAAGTAGTGCTTGCATTTCCATAATTTTATTAAACGAATTCGTTTTCACTGGCTGCCCGCCGTATCAATAAACGAAATTAACAATAGACTTAACTCCGTTTCGTTGACAATCAGCCGTAGACGAGAGTCTTCATGCATGGCTGATTGTCGGTTTCGTTTTTTCTGGGACGCACTGTATAAAGTGGATTTCTTTGTGCTAAATGTTGTCTATCGACAACAATTTACAGCGAACGTGATTGCAAGCACTCCCGAAGGAAATCGACCTAAGGGCTGTTTTAAGACCCTTTTGTCTTTCCAATATAAACAATGTTTGTTTGTTTGTTTTATAGTTCCACATTCCATATAAGGAGATTGTTTCAAACATGATATTCAACAAGAGTATGTGTTATACAACGATGAAAGATATGAAACGTAGATAAATAATAATGTATATGGGGAACCACAGAAGCAAAGCTTGTATATATAGTTTACCAAATAAAATACAACAATATTGTTACTGAATTCGATAGCAATACAGAACGACATTACAAAAATATATTTGAGTCACTGAAACATTATCAGATTATGTTCGGCGTTAGGAATTATTTTATGTTTATTTTTATATTCGGGTGGGGGAGTCGCATCGATCAAAACGTTGTATGAGATTGCATTGTTACATGGGAATCAATGAATTAATGTCTAATCAACTGCAAAAAAAATTAGAAGAATCACGTTATTTTTCAATTTTTACTGGTTAAATGTACTCTCGTGTGTGAATTATATGTGTTTAGGTAACTTAATAATATGAGATGGTTTTAGGAATATGTAATTAAAGAACATGGACGTATGATGAAGAAAAAAAACTGCATTCAATCGTGCTTTATTTGTTATTATGTCAAGATTTAGTAGGCTGTATTCTTATATTACAAAATACTCTTATCCATTGCCGTTTATTAAATAAGAAACTAGCGCCCCACTGGCTGGAGAAGCAAAATACAAAATTAAACAAAACGAACTAAAAGTGGAACCAAAAACAACAAATACCAATACAGGATCGATCAAAATCATTATTAAGTACAAATGGTCACAGGCGCAGCCAAGGGGTTGTAAGTGGGTCACTTCTTGTTTATTCGCTTAAAATAGTAATCCTATGAACCTGGGGATCAAAACCTTAAGTCTATCCTTACTCCTACACGTGGTGTTTTGATTGACTCCACCCCCGTCTCTACCCCTCCCCCTGTTTTGCAGGTCTGGCTACGCAAGTGCTTTTGGTAGTGCACCTATCAAATTGAATAATGAAGTGCATACGTCTTCCACTGCTTAAATCCTCTCAGAAAGTGTTGGGATCCTAACAAAATTGATGGAAAAATTCACTTTAATTGTATAATGAAGTGAAAGAAGATGTCATTTAACACTGACTTCTAGAAGGACTTTCAGAATAAATGTGTTTGATGACGAATATTGATGAAAGAATACAAAATGTTGGTTTTCTGCGTAGCACACAAAACACAGGTTTTGTATTCTTTCATCAATATTCGTCTTCAAACACATATTTTGGGGGAAATCCTTGCAGAGTTCAGTCTTAAATGACATCCTCTTTCACATCATTACATAATGTAAGTGAAATTTTGCCATCCAATTTTGTTAGCGAATCTGAGGTTCCCAACACTTTAGGGGGGCTTAAGTTTTCACCTGAGGCCGAGGGATAATGGGAAAGCTAGGCAGTATATAGAGATTTGACTTTTTACACGATCAATCAGTCATTCTACTGAGCCCTGCTTACTTAATGTCGTGGTATGTCATGGTAACTAAATTAAATTGCTGCCACAATATTTGTTAGCACATTGTACAGGAGATTTGCAAGTCAGATTTCATTTCCAAATATTGATACATAAAAGTCACATTGCAGAGTGAGACATAAAGGCAACTAAGCCATCCCAAAACATTCGCTGTTTGTAGAGCAATTCAAATTGATAAAGAACACACATCAGCTAAACCCCAGCACGCTCTTGATTCAAAGAATGTATAACGAAACTTGCTCCAGCAACAATTTTCTACATCACTATACTTACAGGGGAAGTCAATCCTAATATTTTATTGGGTTTATAGAAGAAAAAAATGAGATAAACAGATCAGCATTATTTAAGCAAAAATCAATTAAAAAAGTTATGAATTTTTGAAGGTGTAATCAATAAAATACATATTATCAACGCTTTATCTTGCGAGCTCAACTCCCATTTGCCCTGTACGATAAAAACTTCAAATATTGTATTTGGAAAACGAAAATTCATGAGATTGTCTGTACAGAGCAAATTGGAAAGGAGCTAGTAAGATACGTCACAGTGTTGCCAATTTATGCTTCACTAAATGACAAGTTGACAAATTCATAACTTTCCTATTTTAAATCGGATATTGCTCGAATTTTCACTGATTTGTTTCTCTCATTTTCTGATTTTATTAGCACCAAATTAATATCCGGATGGAATTCCCCTTTAGTATTTATTCCACCAAATCGTTTAGAAGGATACATTACCCCCACTGGCGAAAAATCGGCCTGACCGGGGTCGGTTTGGAGTTGGTTTGATTGTGTGACTTAAATCCACCGCATACTTATACGATCTCCCTGCGATCTGATTTTCGAACAAAATAAGAAATGGCAATTATATCAGATACTAAAATGTCCTGTGAAATGTATTCAAACTTTCCTTCCTGATTAAGTTCAAATTAATCATCTAGACATCTAGACATCTAGGAAGAATAAAAGACGAATCAGCTTCAGCCAAGTGCACTAGAACCAGGAGCGTACGCAGGGGGGGGGGGGGTCGATTTTTTTTTGGTGGTGTGTTTTGGAGGAAACTCCCCCCTCCCCCCCCCAAAAAAAAATAATAATAATAATACAAAATTGTGCTAATGGGTGACCAATAATGGTGAGCTTACCCCCCCCCCCCCAACGGAACGAAATATCGATCGGTCAATATTTCAAATTTTCGGGACCAAAAAAAAAATAATGTGCTCTGCCTCCCCCCTCCCCGCATATTCAGCGGCTGGCTGAGTCGTTGCGAAGTTTTCAAATTTTTCGGCGCGATTTTCAAATTTTAAACCCCCCCCCCCCCTTCGAAAAAATCCTGCGTACGCGCCAGACTAGCACTACTGGTATAAAAAATCATAACTTCCTCATGTTTTGTCAAATTTCATTCAAAAATTCGCCAGTATGATTCTCAGATTTTTCTCCTTTCTTCTACATAAGTTTGCTATCAATGTTGGATGTTAAAGGTATTACCCTAAACCTTACCGTTAACTCAGTTACGACCGTAATCCTCTACCTTTGGCAAAATAAAACCCACAACAATTGGGGCTTATGTCGGGTCACCTCTGCCGATTGCAAATGTATAACATCCACTGGTTGGTAGTGTGTTGTCACTTTGTCGTTTCGGAAGGAACACTTTAGCAACCCTCAAAAGTGTTCCGCAAGTGGCTGTTGATGCATTTTGATAGGGAAAAGGTATATGCTGTATGCTGCATTACAGGGCAAGTCCACTACAAAAATATCTTTCAATAGAAGCAGAAAAATCAGACAAACCTATATCAAAAACATTTAATAAGAAAGTTATGAATTTTTAATGACATGACAAACTTTGAAAATCACAAGACAAATTAGCAACTCACTCATGAGTCTGTGACGTCATTGCCTCACTATCCACTAATTGTTTTCTTTATATTGGTAATATACATTTCGAATTTTCCCCCTGATTTACACTCCACTCAAGGAAAAAGTTCTTTACAGTTTCATTGTTTTAAAGAAAAATTGTGAAGTCATATAATTACAACATTCTATCAAAGTGTCTTACGTCTGTGGAGGGGTTCTACATTGCATCAATCAGAAACCATAAATAGGAATTTCTTGGAATTTTGCTCTCAAAGATTTTGTTCTACATAATTAATGATGCTGATGACGAGGGGAAGTTCTTGATAGTGCTACACGTTTGATGTGTACAAAGGGGCAAGTCCCCTCCAACTAATAACTTACTTCCAAAAGAGGCAGAAAAATCATACAAACTAATTAAAAGAAGTTTGAGCCAAATCAGATAACTAATAAGAACATTTAGAATCTGTGATGACATGACAAATTGGTAACTCACTCATGAGTCTGTGCCATGATTGCATTTAAAAAAAAATATTGATGATATAAATTTCCATTTTCTCCCCTAAATTCTTATTTCCTCACACCAGCATCCAAGTTGTTTTGATATTAATATGTTTTTATGTTGATGTTCTAATATATATATTTTTTTCTCACTTAAATCATTAAAAATGTGAATTTTGATAACTATTTATATAAAAATCAATGATTATGAATTTACAATATTCAGAAAATAGTATCAATTCTTTAAAGTTCATAAACGGTTTTGTGAAATGTCATGCACGCAATCTGATACAAATCATATAACGTGGGCAAAGGCATGGAGAAATCAAGTTTTGGGGGATAAAAAGGGAAATTAATGGGATAAAAAATATATAAAGCAATTGATAAATAGTGAGGCACTGACGTCACAAACTAATAACCAAATTGGCAAGTTGTGTAAAGATTTTCTAAGTTCCATAGTTTTAAATACCTAACTTCCTTATTAGTTATCCTGTTTTACTTATTTAAATTTTCTTTGCTCTGTTTCTCTTGTTTTTCTACATCTA